AATTGCTAAAACCGCCGCTTACCGAATTACACATAGAGTCACATATCAGCTAGTTACATTGATGACCTTTACCTCCAAGGGAGAACATACGATCTTTGTGTCTAACGTGATTGACGCTTTTATTCAGTTTCATTCCTTGGGGTTTACAATCCATCCAGACAAGTCTGTCTTCATCCCATCCCAACGTCTAGTTCTATTAGGCTTTATTATTGACTCGGTCACCATGACTATCTCACTGACCCATGAGAAGAACTTAAAAGTTAAAGAAGCTTGTGGCACTCTTCTGGGACAAGGCCTTCCGACTATACGACAAGAAGCGTGTGTGATAGGAAAAATTATTTCATCATTCCCTGGGGTCATGTATGGACAACGTTATTATTATTATTATTAGAGTCTGAGGTAATGCCAGCAACTTGCAATTTTCTGTCCCTTACCTCAATATTCTGGTCATGACTCGGTTCTGGTTCTTGTAGATAGCATTCCCCCCTTCTTGTTGAGAGGAGGCGATGGTAGTTTTTGGGTGGCCTAGAGTAAGTACTCGCACTCCCGTACCTGCCTTGGAACCTATCTGAATAGCCACCATTCCTAGATTTTTTGATGAAACTAGGCTTTGACTCCTTTCTTTTCTTTAAAGTGGTACGATTGGTATCAGTCCTTTACCGCGTACCCAAATAGCTCAGTTTTAAGGGGATGGAGGGGGCACAAAGGTTGCAGTTGCTTGTGTGAAGCTCTGGTTTAAGAGCCCTTATCCACCTGATCTGTACTTCTACATTAGCATTATCCATCAAGAGAACACCACGAATGAGTCTATTAACCATCTGATGCTTTGATATCAGGTGTGCTAATCAGGTCATTCATAACCTGCACAACAGCTGCTGTACCTTTGACAATAGTTAATTTTGTTAATTTTATTTTATATTCCAGTTTATGTTCTTCATACTATTACAATAATCTGATTTTTTTGCTCTTAATATAACTTTATAGAGTTTGTCTCTTTCCCTCTTATTAACAGGTTTATTAAAAGGGAGTAATGAAACTGAAAACGGTAATTTAGCGACTTGATAATCCTTTCTCTATAAAGTCATAGCGGTTCCATAGATGAATGTGAATATAGTGCTGACGTTTAGTGTTTAGCTTTGTGACCCTTCTTGAATTAAAGCTTAATTTTTACTATCTCTTTTCTTTCCACAAACAGCTGGAGAAACTGGACAAACGTCGACAGTTGCAGACACAAAAAGGGGTAAGTTAACAACTTCATATTCCTTTCTCTTTTCAGTTACAGAGGTTGGATAGACAAGAATCACAAAAATGAAATTAGAAGTCTTTACTTGAAAAACCTCGATGCTTTAATTCCAAGGTTTATTTTATTGCAATTGTGTTCTTGTTGACAGAGAGAGAGAGGGTTCACCAGGATACAAACAATGGTAAGTTAACCAGCTATAGAGGCAAGCATATGTTAGGAAAAATCTTATTGCATTCCTAGAATAAAACAATTTAAAAGCCCTTTAAATTTACATTCATCACTTTGCATGTGTTTTCTGAAACCCAGTGCAACTTAAGTGGTATTTTGATCTCTATATTTTCTTGCAAAACAAAGCCAACTGGACATGAAAGAAGTCCTCAGTAAGATTCTTTTAATTTTAACCTCAACGAGTTGAAATTGCATAGTGACATATGAAAGAAGACGTGTCTTTTTCTCTCTTTTTGTAATCTCTATTAAGCTTAATATAATCAAACATAAATAATATTAAATAAATTATTCACATGTGCTTTACCTTTGGTTTCCTTAGAGAAAATCAAGAGATCCTACAAGAGGAGTAAGCTTTCTTTCCTTGATATGGTTCCTAAGCTGCCATTCAAGAAATTAGGCAACTAATTGACTCATGTGGCAGGACACGGATTGACGTTTACAGCTGATTCAATAAAGGTTGCTTTGGGCATTGGGAACCTATTGTTTGGCAGTCACTCAAGCAAATCATTGCCGGACTCGTGAACGGGGAAAGAATGTGAGTGTGGTCCTGTTGAGATGTGCCTTATGAATATGACAAAAAACAGTGGACTTCTGTACCTTCTGTTGTTTAACATCTGAGGTACGCACCTGGTATGAAAGGGTTATTTCTGATCGGTAAATTAACTCTGGTTTCAGCCAGAGTTTCACAATTCTTTGGTTGAAGGTAGCATTTTACGACCTCATTTACCTTAGCCTCCTCAGCTTTTTCTTTCAACAACTTTTGGACAATAACAGCCAACCTTTCATTTGATTTAACTCTAAACATTTCTGGTCTTTCGACTCCATGAAGTCAAAAGCTAAGAGAATTCCAGAGACTGTTTTCTATAGTAATATTCACTAACTGATTTCACTTCCAAATTGGAACTTTTAACAGATTTTTCCAATCTATTTATTCCAAATCTTTTTTACATCAGAATCTGTCATAAGATGTTGTAAATCCTAACTTGGTTTTCAATGTCACAACTAGACCCTCACAGGTGCAAGGAATCT